CTTGATTGATGTAATGTATGTTTAATTGGGGTATTATTATTTTTGCAGCTCTCAATAAATTTGATTATAGTTTCCAAATTTTATGAAATTTATTTATGAATAATTCTATCCCACGACACCTGTGTATGTAATTTTCCTTTAATCATATGATGTAGTCCAATTTCCAAAGGGTAAATTGTGCATTTGTGCTTATCTTCTGAAAAGTTTCATTGAATGAGGCGGGTTTTGGGGCAAAGAGAATAAATCACATTATTTACAAATTTTGAATAATATGACCCGCTGCAAATCTTGTATTTTATATTAATAATTTCATTTGATACTTTTAATTGATAACGAAGTCACTTAGAGTAACATGTTACATGTATATTGCAAATTTTTTCAATATAATTTTACAAATGAAAAGTTAATTTTCTGTACAACATACATTCTGTCCTCTTTTAGCCTGAACAATACACATCCTCCCCCCCCCCCAAAAAAAAAAGAAAAAAAATTTCCCCATCATATTATGAAAATCTTAATAGTGAGACAAATGAAATTAATTAGCTCCTATAAAATAAATAAATATTAATGAAGCTGAATAATTTTTTGAGGGAAAATTAAAATATATTTTTTGAGCAAAAGATAAAAATTAAAATATATTTTATATAGCCAAAATCAAAAGGCATATAAATTTTTGTCATACAGAGGGTGTAAATATCAAATAATTCGAACCTTCTACATTAAAAAAAAATATGAAGGTACAAAGATAATGAGTATAGGACTACAAAATAGATCCCCAATATAATAGTAATATTTTTCAAATTATTTTCGTCAAATGCATGAATGTAAAGGATAAAATTTAATTCAGTGAGTAACAATGGCAGGTGGGAACATGTTGATTTTTTTTAATTTTTTTTTTAAATCTCTAACATTGGGGAAATGAAATTCATGTGCTTTGTTGTGATGTCGTTTATTGTTTTGGTAGTTGTCGTCTACAGAACGCAAACACTTTGTGATTCCTTTGGTCGGTGCTTCATCCTCTCATGTTATCTCCACTCAAAAGCAGTGTCTTCCACATGCTATATATTTTGGTTTCTCTGGTCAAAGTTACTAATTTTTTTTAAATTCAAATAACAACTTACATTTAATTTGTATTTAAAAAAAGAAAAATAAATAAAGTTGTTTTTATCGATTTAATTATTTTTGTTAGTGTATTAAAATAGTGTAATCATAATTTTATATGCATGAAAAGTTAATACATTTTTAAAAAAATTATGTTTTCTAAAATAAATAAATATGATTATAAAAACATTTAAAAATTATTTATATAATTTTCCCTATAGTTTAATAGACACAGAAACTTTGCAAGTTCACCGGTGGCCTAATGCCACAATAACACTACATCTCTTCAGTGAAAAACTGAAACTGAAAATGAGACCAGGTTGAACGTCTTAAAATTATTTATAAAATTTTCACCATGGTTTAATGCATCCAAATAGCTAGATTGTTGGTTTAATGCTATGAATTTAGAGTTGAAAAACGAGCAGCCTTGGCGCATATACGATCAAGCCCTTAAACCTAATTTTTTAAAATAATTTACTTTTAAAGCTTGACTTTTATTCAAAGAAATCAAAATGAGGCCCACAAGCCTGTTATTATTATTATTATTTTTAGTTTTTAAATGTTTTAAAATTAAATTTTTTAATTATAATATTTCATATTTTTAAAATATAAATTATAATGTTAAAAATTCAAAATAAATAATAGAAATTATAATTTTAGAGTGTAAACATATATAGTTTAAATTTAATTTAGAAATTAAAAATATTTTATTTTTTTATAGGTAAAACAAAAAAGGGCTATCTGAACTTGAACTTCTTTTTTTAGGATCTATTAAGGTAGGGTTTGAAATCTTGATTCTCCTAAAAAATGCCATTCTTTAAAGCCTAAATCCTTTTTAAAAACAAACTCAAATGAGTAGTCCGTCAGGTCTGACTTTTATTATCAATCTATTCATGATTAATTAAATTTTGAATTATTGTTAGAATACATCCCCACATCTATTGTGACTGTGTCTTGAGCATGATTGTTAATTTGTTATTTTTAGCAAGATACATGTTTGCAATAAAAAGGATAAAATGACAACTTCAAACTTATTGAAGACATGAATAACAATATAAAATCTTGAATTATTAAAATGTCAGGAAGGATAATGATATTTATTGTTAATTTATAAATAAATCTGCATGTATTGGTGAACTTCATGGGGTTTGCTATTCATCACCAATGTTTTGAATAGTAAACCCCTATCCAGATTTTTTTTGAAAAAATTATTTATATTTTTCAATATAAACATTCTAACATAAAACAAGTTATTTTTTTATATTTTGCATAAAAAGAATTTTAAAATAGAACATGCTAGCCTTTAAATTTTTATTTTTAATGTGCATGAGATAGAAAATTATAGTTTACAAGGAATCAATTTTAAAATATTAAGTTCGTCTTTATATTTTAACTATTTACAAGGTTTCAAATTCTAAAGGATTAATTGGTATAAAATCTAGTATTATTAAAATAATCAATGGTATGTGACTCATAAATTTAAATAAAGTTAGCTGTGAATCTAAATAATATTATTCATAAATTAATGGAGATTCAATTGTAAATAAATAGATAATTTTATAAATTTATGTATTATTACTTGTGAACTTAAGGATGGTCACTTGCCAATTTTAGGAAGGTTACTAGTGAATTTATGAAAATTAAATGGTGAACAAACATAAATTTGATGGATTTATACATTACTTGTGATTTAGGAACCCTACCATGTTTCCAAATAATAAATATATATTCACAATTGACTTTTTGTAAATTTATAAGTAATTTTCAAAAAAATTACAAGTAATTATTCTTAAATTTACAAGTAAAGATATATATATTCATGAAACTATATATTCATTTATAATTAATTTTTTATATATTCACAAAATAATTTTCTTAAATTCATAGTCAACTTCCTTTAAATTCATGAGCGGCTTTGCAAATAAAAACCTTTCATGAAGTTGTTTTAATATTTTAATATATTTATAATGTTCATCATTTTCATTTTCCCTAAAAAAAACTTGCATGTTAATATTATCCATACATTACTAATAAATGTTAATCTAGTTGATAAAAATTTAATTCATAACTTATAAAATCAACTCACTTCAAGGTTTTGTAATAAAATATATATTAACTACACATAACTGGTTCCTCTCTCTCATTATGACTATTAATTAATCCTATGAATCCCTCAATAAGAACCAATTAAAACAAAATTAAGGACTTATGGGTGTCATAACTCAGAAGCCTGTTGTTAATTATTGTCATTCTGTGAGATTTGGGGGTACATATTAAAAGGAGGCACTAGGATGCCAAATTTTTGTTTATACATGTGAACCTGAATTATTGCTTCCCACATTTCACTCTTTTTTTTTTTTAAAAAAAATAACCTAAAAATAAAAAATAAAAATATGCGTTCTGACATTGATTCCAAATTAGGCCCTACCTCTACCCTACTCCCACCTAGCTAAGCTACCTTTGTCCCCAAAACAACCCTAACGAGTCATCTTATTACAATTTTTTTTGGGTTATTTTATCATTATATTTTCTTTTGTAATGGAGTGCTAGTAGTATAAGACATGGTTTATGGCTAAATGTAATATAAAATATAAGCCACTTAATATTATTTTAAATTTATTCATATATTAATTAATGTAAACATGTGAAATATAATATGCTAAAAACGCCTTCTCACTTTTCATAGTATAGGAGTTAAGAGCAAAAAAAAAAAAAAAGCATGTCATTTTTTCATAAAAGTAAATAAATATAATTAATTATTTTTATGGGTATGTGATATATGATTAGAAATACCTTATAATTTAAACTGGATAGAGTAAGTATTTATTATTTTGTTATTTTTTCATATTTATATATTTATTCATGTTAAATTTTTACAATTTAAAAATTTACATAAATTTTTAAAATGAAATGTATTGAAAATTATTGAGATCGTATATTACGTGACTTGTGTTTGTGAGAATGCCTATGAAATTTATTTTTTTACTTGTCTTCTTCTCTATCATATTGCAAAGAGATTTGATTAATCTGATAAAATTTGAAAAATTGTATGGTATTCATAAAACAATAGCTGAAAAAAAAATAATAAAACAAGAGAAAATTTTTTGGGGGTGGTTGGGGGGGGGGGGGAGGGAATAAAATGATGAAACAAATGAGTCTTCCAGATGATCATACTCTCTGGCAATTTTTTGTTTTGACGCCTTAAAAAAGCACTTTAAATTTAATTGGTGTAAACTGTATTTTAAAAATAGTCTGTAGACACTTATGAATAATCAGCATATTAATATGTTTAATTATAATATATATATATATATATATATAAATGGATACACCCCAGATCGAGGAAGCTAATGAAGCTTCCACTAAACGTTATTAATTATTAATTAATGTGATTCATTAAGAGAGAGCTCTTAATACGCTGTATGCCCACCAGCTTTTCTCTTTCCCCTCCAACTTTATTATCATTATTAGTATAATAGAAAGCGAAAAAGCACCCTTAAAAAAGGAACGCTTGGTGAATGAAAGAAAGAGACTAAAGAGACTCATGAAATTAAGAGCCTCAGTTCATAGTTTTTCTCAACCTCCATATGTACTCCCGGTTCAAAATATGAGTAATTTTTTAAAAAATTTTGCATATTAATAAATTTTTTATTAAAAATATATCTCATTTTTTTACTCCTAATTTAAGTTACCAAAATATTTTATGATGAGTGGGAGATACACTTGCATAAATATTTAAGTTAATAAATACAAGGAATAAAGTAGTAAACTTTTTTTATATATATTAAATTACTTATATTTTGAATTAAAATTAACTAAGAGGAAATGCTTATATTTTGAATTAGAGGGAGTATAAAATTCTAACTCTGTCTTCCAAGTTCCTTCAAGCGGTCCTCTGAAAATAAAAAAGCAAAGTTAAAGCTTTACATGTGTGCGTATATATAGCCTCTTGTACTCGAGCCCTCAATCACATATCAGAAAGCTAGAGAGGAAAGTAAAGTAGAAAGCCACGAGAAGATCCCAAAAAGAAGAACCAAAAAACTTATTTGGGTTTCTGGTTTTTGTGAAGGGGCATGAACTGGACAAATCTGTTTCAGCAGTACAGCAAGTGATCATCATCATCATCATCATCATCATCATCATCATCATCATCATCGATCATGGGTGGGAACCCTAATTTGTGGAGCAATATGCATGACGCTAATTACGTGCTTGGATCTTCCATTCCTTTCAATTCCCTCCCTCAAAACCCAGAGCCTCCTTCTTCTTGGAGTCAGCTCCTCTTGTAATTCTCTCTTCTCTCTTCATTAATTAATCCTTGTCTTCCAAGTGTTTGATAGATTGGATTACAGAATTTGATCCAACAACTATGCTATATATAGCTTTTCTTGGCTGTTTGAAAGCTTGATTAACTTCCATATTCTAATCTTTCTTTAGCTCAAGCTTATAATTATTTGGAGATCATTCAAGAGCCACGAACTGATGAGCCGAACCTGATAAATATAACCGTGCATATTATTAACTTTGTGGGTCGTTTCTGCAGCTCAGGAGCGCCAGGAGAAGAAAAGAGATTGGGTTTTGATCATTTTCAAGCAAAAAAGTTAGGAACGTGGGAAGAACAAGTTCTGGATCCTTGTTTGTCGTCTACAGTTCATCTTGCCGAAGGAATAAAGCAAGAGACAGGTTTCCACAGTAGAAACTTGTACGGCCATGCTGGTGAGGAATTTCAGGGTACTTCTTCTTCATCTGGTGGTGGGTCAGCAGCGATTTGGTCACACATGGTGGTTCCAGTTTCTTCTTCTCCTGGGTCTTGCGTCACTAGCTTGACCAGTAGTAGTAATTATAACAACAATAGCAACAACACTGTATTGGATTCTTTCTCTTATAAGAAGGCTGACACTAATAAGAAAAATCATCTTCTTGCAGATCACTCATCTGAGGTAATTAATCATACAGATCACTTTAAATCTAGTTTCTTGATGTTTAAGAGCGAGCCTACATACACTGTATTCGAAAATTAAGATGTTTTCTTATGATCTATTTATGCAGTGTAGCACAGCCGCTGGTAGGGTCTTCAAGAAAGCTAGGGTTCAAGCATCTTCAAGCCTCCAGCCTCCTCTCAAGGTGACCCCTACAGATCTCTCTCCCTCTCTCTCCTCTCATGCAAGGCGTGATGAGTACTGTACTATGGACTTAGCTTGAATCATTATATATTTAAAGGATAACTATACTAATCTCATGATAAGATAATGGTGAGGGGTTTAATTTTTTTTATACTTCATTATTATATATATGGGATGTCTTGGTACTGATTGTCTCTTTCAAATTAATATATTCTTTGTGGTACTGATCGAAGCATTAAAAAATGTGATTAATGGAAAATGAATGAACAGGTGAGGAAGGAGAAGCTGGGAGATAGAATATCAGCTCTTCACCAACTAGTTTCTCCATTTGGAAAGGTAATTAATCACAACATTCAATTTTTAGTATATGCTCGTATATTTTTCTTGTTTGTTTTAAAAAATTAAGCAAAGGTAATTAAGGTATTTTTTGAGATTATATATATATATATATAAAGAGGAAAAGAAAAAGAAAAGATGACACGAGATGGAAGTGGTTTGCCTTTGCAGACTGACACAGCTTCAGTGTTGTTGGAAGCCATCGGATATATCAGATTCCTTCATGGTCAAATTGAGGTGATGTTTCTCTCTCCCCCACAATATAATAAAACTCGCACCATTGTAGCAGTATCTAATAATTTGTAGAATTATTATGTGATTCATAAATATTACAATAATATCATCATTTATGTACAAAATATATTAACACTTATAATTTGTTTCTTGAACTCCTTACTGTATCATCATATGTCAAAATGTTTCTAGTTATTTTAATAATTTCATAATAAAAATTTTTTTAAAACATTTTTTTAATAATAAACTTGTTTTAAAAAATATCTTTAATTAATTATGAGTTGATTAAAATTTATTTTTAAATTTGGATAAATGAAATTTTTTAAAAAATTAATCACTCCCTCTATTCAAAAATGTAAAGTATTTTTAATCGAATTTCACCCTCAATAAAGTAGTTATCTACTTTCAAATTTACCCTATTTTTTTATATTTATCCCTATTAAATACCCTTTAATAAATATAAAGTCATTATCAATAGGGGCACTTTTAAAAAAAAGATAATAATTACATCTTGAAAGACTAAAAATGACTTACATTTTTAAAAATATAACTTCTCAAAAAATATCTTATATTTTTAAACAGAGAGGTATATTTTAAATAAATTAAATAAATTTTAATATTTTTATTGATTTTAATAAAATATATTAAAAATAATTTATAAATAAATAAGATAAGAAGAGCTACCACTTACTCCCTCCATTTAAAAATATAAGGCATTTTTAAATTTTTAAGATATAATCATTACCTTGTTTTTCTATTAATAATAAATTTATATTTATTATATGATTTTTAATAAAAATAAATATAAAAATATAAAATTAATTAAAAAATAAATAATTATTTTATTAAAGAGTAAAATTTTATTAAAAATATTTTATATTTTTTAATGGGGGAATTATAAAAAAACCTTGCACTGTTATTGCTATTGTACGAACTCTGCAAGATGTTCAGACTTGAGAGTCAGTGAGGAGAGCACGCAATTAAAGTGAAAGTTTCATCAACTTTTATGTTTGTCTCTCTTGAAAAACAAACTTTATTTTTTATTACTTTTTATGAAAGTTTTTTTTTTCTTTTTTCTTTTTTATTCTTATTTCTTCTCCATCGCTGCAGGCTCTATGTTTTCCTTATTTCGGAAATTCATCAAAAAACTTGAGGAATCATCACTTTGTAAGTATACTTAATTTTTTTGGCCAAAAAAAGTATACTGATTTTTTAATTTACATATTTTCTATTATATTTGCATGTTCTATTTTTATGAATAGATTATATGAATTTCATTTACATTTTATACGAACAATATTTTTTTTTTGCTTTTTAAGGATATTAAAAAAAATTTACATGAAATTCAAATATTTAGAAAGGCAATAAAATTACGACAACGAATAAATTATACTGATATTTTAAAAAAATTTCAGGAATGAGTCCATCTCCTCTTGACTTTGAAGGAAATATTGTACTATATAATTTGGAAAGAAATTACACACACACACACAAACTCAAAGAAAATAGATGTATGTAATATACTTATGATGATTTTTTTGTTGTTGCGTTATTTCAAAGTCATAGCGAAAAAACCAATAAATATCTATATTTTTTATTCTATGTTTATTCTATGTTCTATTTTTTATTCTTTCTCAAAACACAAACACATATGTGGGATCAATATATAAAAATTGAAGTGAGAGTGGTGTTTACAAATTATATTGGTTTGATGAACAGGTGAATCATGGAGATAGGAATTCTGTATTCCCTGAGGACCCTGGACAGGTACATTGTCATTATTATTATCATTATTATCCATCGACTTCATTAGAATTCTCAAATATCTCCTTATTACCCAAAAAAATATATGTGGCGCCATGATGCAATTATGGCAATCTTTAATAAACAATAATCCATTCAAAATAGATCACGCCTTTATCACTAACATGTTCTTTTGAATTATAACGTGCAAAGCATTAAATTGAAATTAAAATGGATAAAAGAGAAAGAAGTGATAATGTCAAAGCCTCTCTTTTCACACTTCCCTACCCAGCTAGAAGTGATATGATTTAGGTGAAAAAAAAATTAAAACTCATAAATTAAAATTTACAAATTAATCACTAGGTCATTGCTTATTTGTGAAGTTCAGAATTTTTTTTGAATTTTAAAAAATCATAATTAAATTTAGAAAATTCATATGAGGATGATTTAAAATTATATTTGAATTTGATAAAGTCTTTTACATGATAAAAACACATTTTTAACCTTTTTTTGTAAAACATATAACTTATTCATTTTCCAAAACTATTCAGTTTTTGAAATTGGTTATGTTCATTAACTTTAAAAATCCATAACTAATTCTACAAAACTGATCTTGATCTTATTCTTAGCTCATTATAAACCTTGGCAAGCCCTCTACATAAGAAAAATAAGAAACAGAACTCTAATTGGGCCAACTAATACAGTTAATACATCCCTTTAAGTTGCTTTGTTTTCATGACAGATTCTGACCCTTCATTTAGAAAAATAATTAACTCAAGCTATAGAGCTCAAATTGATTCAATTTTGAACTTTTTGGAAAGCTTAATATGTCTAGATAATGCATACATATTATTAGAATCAATAGAGTCCATTTATTATAAACATTTTAATGAAACAGTAATAATCCTCCAAAAAATCCTGCACTAGGACAATATGATACTTACATGCTTAAATCATAGCTCCAATAGTTTCTAAAGCTTCAACTCATGCTTTATCAGTCTAGACATATCAAAGATGTATATTATTGTTTTTGAGTGAATTTGCCTAACTCACATGAATTTACATGTGATTTAGAACAGAAAAGTCTCCAACTTGGCAATCTAACACTACTTGCTTAATTTTTTGAATTCTTCTTCCTTCTTGTTCTTGTTAGCTTTCCACCTAACATGGTTAGTAATTGAGAGTGAAACATAAAGTCTCAATGGCAACATAACCATTCCACATAGCATGATCCATTCAAACATTGAACATAACTAACAAGTATGGCATGATATACAATGTATTTACTAACAAATATTGAACATAAAACTTTATGTCATAACATATCATTGCACCATGGAAGAGCTTTACATAAAGCATTTAGCAACTCATAACATGACATCAAATTTCATATAAATCATTCTATAACAAGGATAAGATCATATATAAGAGAAAAGGTTAAGTTGCTACCTTCTAATTCTTGCTTTTTATTCCTTCCAATCTTCAAGGTTACTTAACCAAACCTCTAATTTATCTTCCGTTGTAACCAAAGGCCCTAACCTTCAAACTTAAGTTTTCTTACTTCGAATCACTTGGACATGAATTCCTTATTCTTCCATCCACTAGGATAATCTATGAAGCTTTAGATCTCTTGATCCTTCTTCTTCTTCTTCCTCCTCTTCCACGCTCTCCCCCCCCCCCAAATGGTGTGCTGACCGAAAATATGCTAATGGAATTGAGAGAGTTGTGATTAAAGGAAAATATCAACCATGTTTAATAAAATTTTCACTTCCATTAATCTACACCAAGTATTTGTCTTCCTTTAATTTGGGCCAAGAAAAAGTAATATTTTTAGTTTGCCTTTCTGCCCAAAGCCACGTCCTCCAACCCTTTAAAATTGACTTGGATTAGCACCCCATGAATTTTTAATCTTAGATAGAATTTTAGGCATTTTCTTAACCTAAATGAATTTATTTCTATAATAAATTCCTTTGAAAATTCTTAACCAATAAAATTAGTATTTCTCTTCCAAACATTTCTTCCTTTCATACACTAATTTCCTTTAGTTCTTCATGAATTTTGGTAATTTTTTATAATTACACTTCAAGACCCAAAACATTTAGGAATTATATTTTGATCCCTATTGACTCAACATTTTTATGTCAACATTCACTTTTGTTCAATTTTAACTTTCTCATACTCTCATTATATTTAATTAAATATAATTATCATTAAACATTGATAACTACTATTTGATTCTGGATAGATTATTACTCTTACTCACTTTTCTTTTCTTCTCTTTCATTTCTTAGTCTAATTAGTAGTTGAGCTATTTAAAAAAAAGTCAAGGATACTATCTTTATAATAGTTAGCTAAATTTAAGGTATCTTTGTATTTTAAACTCATCTTATGCCATTATCTTCTTAGAAAATTATTATATACCATATGGCTCAATAGCTTTTTTTAAGGCCTATTACAACCATATAAATGTGATCTTGAAATCCAACTGCAATCTCACTGAGCCTTTTTTTGAATCTACTATGATTCATAGGATTTAACTATGATCCTTCTCTAGGAAATTTAGGACATAAGGATAAAATTATTAAATAACTACCTTTATTCAGTCTAGCAACTATAGTGATTATTTTTTAAGACTAATCTTAAATACACCTATTACCCTCTTAGGTCCTATATATTCCTTTTAGCCTATTTTGAATTCTTCTAGACCATGACTTACTCATGCTTCAATTAAAGACACTTTCTTGATGTCTCTTAAAATATTATGTTTTTGTCCAAGAATGAACTTTAAAATTACGATGTAGTCTCTATTAACTATTCTAGCTTTTCAGGACATCTTAATGACTCTTGATTACTTACACTTAATAATTTATTGGATACTTGCATATTTTTAATATGCTAGGACCAATGTTTAGGATGTTACAAAAAATATATATACTGATGATGATGATTCTTTTTGTTTTCTTTGTGGTGCTTTCTATTTTCATTCACTAAGCTGTTGAACAATGAATCTTCCCTCAAAAGAAATGGAGCTCCAAACCAGGTATTCTTTCTTCATTTCTTCCTTTAATTGATTTAAATACATAAGCGGAAACTTTATTGAGGCTGTTGATTGCAAATTAATTAGTTGCATATATTGATAATGACAATCATGTACACCTAAAAAAGATAATGAAATTTTTTATCCTTTAAATATATTTTAATTATCAACTTGATCTCTAAAGTTTAATTTTTATTAATCAAGTTTTTAAAGTTTTATAACCATAAATAATTAATTCTTATGATGTTCTTTCCCCTTCAAACTATACGAGTTGATTGCATATGATGACTACATATGAAGATTTAGGGATTTGATTAAGGAAAAATAAATATTAGGGGCTAAATCAATAATTAAAGTAAATTTGAGGATAAAAATTTTTATTATTCCTAAAACAAGTTCACTAATTGAGGAAGGTTATCGAAGTAAGTCAATAGTCTTATTTAAAAAAAAAAATTACTCCTTTTGTTTAGAAAATAAACCATTTTGATCTAAATTGACATATACTAAAAAAAAAAATTTAGGAAGTTAATATCTTAATGTTTTTCTAACTTAGCTCTGCCCTTCTTTAAATGCATAGAACATGATTCGTATTGATGAAAAGACATATGTGCTTTTAATATACACTCTTAGGTATTTTTGAAAATAAAAGATATTACTTTTCATTAGAAATCCATAAAATGCCTTAAATACTGAACAAGAGTACTATCATTTTAAAAATACCATTCGTTAATTTTATTAACTTTTCTCCTCAAAAAATGGGAAGGGTATTTGTAGAGTAGATTTATACTGCATCTGATTTAAAATATAAGCAATTTCTTTTCACTAATATTAATTCAAAATGTAAGCAACCTAGTACATGTGAATTTTTTTTTTTCATTTTACTCCTTATATTTATTAACCTAGATTCCTGTATAAATTTATCTCTCACTTATCATGAATACATTGGTAATTGGGATTAGGAATAAAAAGGAAAAACAATGTATATTTTTATGAGAACAATGATTTTACTGGCATACGAATTTCTCTTTGAACGATACTTGTTTTTGGATAAAGCTCATAAATGCTTTACTATACTCTACTATCAAAGGGTCTCATATATTAATTAAGGAACTACAAAAATCTTTCAAAATGGTCTTGTAAAAAAAAAAAAAAAGCAGAGGGAGTATGACATTGATATGAGAATAAAGAAAAAGTGCATGGCAATAATTGTTGTTTCTCTGAGTAACATACTCGTATAAATACATTTTGGCCAACAATATATTATTATGAATGATGATGATGGAAATTAAATAAACAGGAAAGTGAAGAAGAAAAGGCAAAGGACTTGAGAAGCAGGGGATTGTGCTTGGTGCCTGTGTCTCTGAGCCATCATTTTGGAAGTGATCATAACATCATTGGGGCTGATTTTTGGTCTTCAGCTTATGGCTCTGGTTTTTAATTAACTCAACTACATTCACTAAATAATCCTTAATTAATTTACCTTCTCTCAATTTCACTACTAATTACCTGATCAGTCTTAATTAATTCAATCCATAGAGACTCAGTCTATAGAATCTAAGCATGGCAGGTTAAATTATTCCATCTCTAATAAATATGTAAACATATTTTTTACTGTAATATTTTTACCATGATATATATTTACATGTTCATCACTCTTGCTCTGCTTTGCTTATTTATTTCTTCTACTCACATAATAATTTCTCCTAATCTAACTAGCCAGGATAACTTATGATGTGTTTTGTTTTGTCTTTTAAAAAATAAAGATTATTAATTGTCAAACTGTTGATTTTTACTATACCTTCGATTCTTTCAATCATGCAATTTCATATCAAGTATATGGCAATTCAATTTTAAAAATATTAATTTTCCGTGCATCACAGTAACATATCATCCTCTTCTTTGTGTACGTGTTTTATTCAACAATATGGGAGGGAAATCCGTTGATAACATTTATATACAAAAGTATTGTAACAAAAAAAAAATATTTCCATACAAAAATATATTACTTTTGAACTACCAAAAACTTGGATCAATTGGCTCAGGAATTGATCCATTTTAACCCAAAATTTTTTGTTCGAGCCATAGAAATGCAACACCTAGGATATGTAAGTGAAAACAATATATATATATATATATATATCACTTCTATTCATTAGCTTTTCCTCAAATGTTATTTCAGTTTTTAAACTTTAATTAAGATAACATAGTCCTTGTAGTTTCTTAACTTAAGGACATATGTATGTGTTAGTTTCTATATTTTTTTTAATTCAAAATAAGTAATGCCTACAGTATTAAGACAATAAACTACAAGAACTAAATTCTAATAAATTAAATTTTAAGGTTTGAAATAAGAATTGATAGAAAATTTAAAAGCTAAAAGTTATATTTACTGTGTTTCATTTTTTGATATTATCCTATTAATTAATTATAAAAATATATGTTGATTAGTCATCAAGCAATATCTGAATTAGTTCTTACATAGCTTTGTGCCACAACAAACAAAAAAGAAAAAAGACAAAAAAGGAAAAAGAAGGAAAGAAAGTGATAAAGTTGGTCCCCAGTTGAGAACATTCCAAGCAATTGCCGGGAAGAAGTTAAAGCCATGCAATTTCGAGGAAATTTGGCACCATAGAAGAAAACCTGTAATATTTTGACTAAATCTGCCATTTTTTTTTTTTGTAATTTGCTTGTGATTTTTTTATATGAAAACGATGAAATATTCAAAACCTAATCCTGGATTAGGTACATGAGAGTTTTCATCAGTGTTAAACTTGTTTCTAATTAATCTTGAAAAGTTGAATGAGGGATAATTGTTTTATGTTACATTTCCACTTTGAAAAGTGAAGCCAATGGGATAATGACTGTGATTACCTTTCTCCACTAACAGATTTATATATAATATATAATATATAATATATAATTATCATCAGTGTCCTCATCCTGATTAGTAATTTGATTAGTCCCATACATATAAGGTGACTCTTAAATATTCTATGGCCTAATTAATTAATTAAAGAACACTCATATAATTTTGATGATCCGCGCCCTAGTCAATTTGGAAAATTCGTTTCCAAATCCACTTTAGCTTGATTGTGATTGCACTATTTTGTCTGCTAATTAATGCTTATAAAAAAAATTAAAATAATATAATTAAGTATGCATGAAAAGAAATTTTAAGCACACACAAATGTTAATTGATTCAATTAATAAGTATTTGATTCATAACTTTTGAGTTTGTTGAATTAAATCTAATTGTTAATGTGAAGATCTGTTTGATAGATAAGCTATAAATACATTTGTAATTGTAACTATTATGTAAATTTAAAATCGTGTCTGAACCTTGGTGAGTTCTTGGAACGTGGTTCACATGTTGTTTTGTTTTGTTTTGTTTTTTAACCTAAAAGGGGATTAAAATGTTTCTTTTTCCCTTTAAATTCTTTCGAAGGTGTGTCACTTTTCTAGTGCTTGGTGACTAATTCCACATCCCAGTTGAAATAGGCCTTCACGACTTTTTTTTATATTTATTATTTATTTTTGGGGTTGATTACTTAGCTTCTCTATTGTTCTTTGAGTTTTTTTTTAGATGATTTTTAATTGCTTCTGACGATTAAAATATCATCTTCGTTTATCTTTTGTATTAGTTTGTTCTCATTTACGAATTTTCTAGTAAAACTTTTCACCTTAAATCAGTTGTCAAAATTGTTTGTTCATCATTGCATTATTCTGTGTGATTTTCACTTAAAATTTTAACATAATAATTAATAGGTGATACAAATGACGTGTAGAATAGTTTCATGCTAAGAATTCAGCCGTAATTATTATCAATTCACTATAATATAAATATATTTTTATATATTTTTTCTTCATTAAAAATATTATGTGAAAATGAGTCAAAGCCATATATTTAGGCTAATTCATCTGAGGAACCAAGGTCGTGCAGACAAGCCCCAGCCCACAATCACTTTTAGTTAAACTTTTAAAAAAATTATAATAAAGTTCTGCATAAAAAAATTAATTATTATAAAATTTATTAACAATTAAATTAAATGTCATTGATAAGACGGTCAGTTGTCAATGATATTTAATTTAATTGTCAATAAATTTTGATATAATTAATTTTTTTGTGTGGAATCTAATTATAATTCTTTCTAAACTCTATTATGGAATTGGACTTTTATAAAAAAACAAAAAAACAAAAATATTATTGAATTGGACTTCTTTTTATTTTTCTTTTTTTCGTTTAAAAAAGTAACTGAAGTGTGTTTTTTGCATGAAGCTTGAAATGAGTTAATAACACTATACTTATAAATAGCACAACTTTCTTGTTTTGAATGTCTTTTTTTTCCCCCTTGTTATTCACAATTTGTTAATAGTGGGATTTTTTTTTTTACTTTGGACGTGTCAAAATATAAATTTTGATTGTTGAAATTGTATATTCTCAAACCTTAACGATGGTACAACCAAACGAAATGTTGTTAGAAAAGTAATAGTAATTTTAGGTAATGTTTATAAGATAATCTTTCAATGTCTGATTTTTTTTCTTTCAAATTATGAACAATACAATTTATTTTGAGCTTCATAAAAATCTACATCCTCACCTCATCACCTCAGTTTATTTTAAACATTTTTGGAAGAAGATTTCATCTAGTATATTAAGACATACGAATTATGTATTTTGATTTTTTGAGTGCCAAAAATGAATTTTTGAAATTTATTAAATAGAAAATTTGAAAGGGAAAAAAGGAGAGGTAAGATTTGACATTTTTTTTGGGGGCCAAAAATATAGGAAGTTATTGAGAAGAAAAATATTAGTCCAAAGGCCTAATAATAAGTATAAGTAATATAAGTGGTAGAGAAGCATTTGATTTTCATTTCTAACCTTCTTGAATATCAGGATTCAATAATCACCAAAATGCAAAATGTCCAAAGGGATGGGCAGTATTCATTTTATTAATTTCATCAGTACTAATAAAACAGAAGTATAAATAATAAAAGTAGGTGAATTTTTAACTATAACCCTAAAATAGCAAATAAAAAATAAATAAATAATGTAATATTATTTTTTTGTTTCATTTTATTATAATTTAAAATAAAATAATTTTATTAAGTAATAATTTATAAAATAGATCAAATTATGTTTATAGAAAGTCACTGATATTGATGACAGAAGAGTATAGCAAAAGAGAGTCTCCCTCGTCAACTTAAGGCATCGAAACAGAAACCAAGTAGCCAACCAACTTATCCAAATTCCAAACGAAGAAAGCAAAATCCGAAGACGAACGCAGAGACTTGCCAAAATGACTACGCTTAAAACATCCTCATCCTTTTTGAGGCTATATTCTTTGCCCTCGCACTGTAAATCCATATCCTCTTCATCTCTGAATCTGATCAGTGTACCGGATTATCGTTCTTGGTATTCCCTTATCTTTACTCCCTTTCATTTTTCTAATTCCCCCACCCCTCTTCTAATTTAGACTGCGTAGTGATTTTTACTAATCTGGGGTTTTTGCTTCAAGTGCCTTTGCAGTGGGCTCATCTATAGTAAACCCTATCGGTTGAGGAATTTGACTCTGCGGTCAAATCTCGAGTTTCAGAAGGATGCGCCTTTGGAAATGGCAGATAAGTGGCGTAATACGGCTCTTCTTGTCATTGACATGCAGGTATGCTCTTATCTCTCCTCATTGAGCCCTTACCTCTTAGTATTAATTTGAAGAAAGGGTAAAGTAGAAATTTTCTCTCTTGATTGCATGTTCTTGATTGGGTCTTTCTAGTTATAAAATTTTTTATCCAGTTTGCCTTCGATTCTGTTGATGTCATTGTTTACATGCCATTTTGGCATCAAATTGAAATGTAAGCGAGACTGAAGAGACCAAAATTGTAATTGAATCTTGGAAAAGAGTAAAAGTTTCTCTCGGCTTTGTTATTGCAGAGAGACTTTATAGAAGATGGGGGTCCCATGGTAGTAAAAGGTGGCAAAGCAGTAGTTCCCAACGTCATTAAGGCTGTGGAAGTTGCTAGGCAGCGTGGCATACTCATAGTTTGGGTAAGCACAGTTTTTGCCCATCTTTCTTTCTTGCCTTTTCGTTTTGTCTCGGTGAAGATTGGTTATTCACTGTTGTGGTAATAAGATACAAATTTACAATATGTTAACGACGGAGAGATTTGAACATTCAATCAGAATATTCTACGACGAAGGAGGGATGATGGTTCACTTGTATGTGGAAACTTTTCTCATTAAACAAGCCTTGCTATGAATTATGTGTTTAGTTGATGGAAGCTGGATACTGGGTGAAGTTTCCAGGAAATATATGCTTGGAAAAGTAAAGAAATGAAAAGGCAAAGTTGTGTATTTAGTTCCTGATACGTTTTAGCTTATAAGTACCCTGCACTGCAGTCAGCAGTTTTGCACTTTTGCTTAGCTGAGGTTTGTTTCCATCTCTCTTGAAGAATCTGTAAAATCTTTTATTAATGAAAAAAATAAAGTCTGTATAAATAAAAAAATAAAATAAAATTGAAGAGGCATGCATGCATGTATATGTCATTGTGTTATCAATTATCAAATTTGCTTTTTCATGGGTAAAGTTGCATGATTGTATTTGAGACATAGATTCCAAAAGAAAAGTTCATGTCAAGCAGTTGAATTGTTTGCAGTATTGCACTCATGATCTGATAAACAATTTTCATATTTGAAGCTCCAAAGGCACTTCTTGTTTTGAGGTGCTTCTACATTCTAACATGTCACTTGTATGATAATGAAAATAGTTCTGATATTTGTTAACTTTTGTCTCTAAAAAATATTGCCAGGTTGTACGTGAACATGATCCCTTAGGAAGGGATGTTGAACTCTTCCGGCGGCATTTATATGGAGCAGGGGTAGTTGGACCAACTGCTAAGGGAAGTGCAGGTGCAGAATTAGTTGATGGCTTGGTAATAAGAGAAGGGGATTATAAGCTGGTGAAGATGAGGTTTAGTGCATTTTTTGCTACACACCTTCATTCATTCCTTCAAGGAGCAGGGATTAATAGTCTAGTGATCACTGGTGAAAAGCCCAATCCAACCAAGAATTTATTTATACTTTTATTTCCACACGTCTTGACTTATCAAATCACTATTTGTAGGCGTTCAAACTCCAAATTGCATCAGGCAGACTGTTTATGATGCTGTAGCATTAGATTATCAACCTGTAACTGTTATTCTTGATGCCACTGCTGCTGCCACGCCGGATATCCATCTAGGTATGTCCTTTTCACTTGTTTGAGAGACTTGCAATTGGCTGTAAATTCAATTGGGATAACCATTGAAGGTGAAACCCTTCTCTGCACTATTTATTTGTGAAAATAATGTGCCCAGAAGACCTTCCTGATAAGCTTTACAAGGGTTTTTATTGAATCCATCTAAGACTGATGAATTTGTGTCTGATGATATTCATCTAAACTTGTGGGATCAGGATTGGGGGTTTGTTACTGTTATACCGAGCATGAGGATGTCCATGTTTGAACTGTGGGCTAATTCCTGCTTATACCTCAAATGTTTCTTGAAAAGTTCCTATTTCATTTCTACACATTTTGCACTCACTTCCAAGTATCACGGGTGGGAGATATGTGTGTTTGTGTATCTGATCAATGAGTTGTTTGCTATTGCAATGCAAGGGTTGGTTGGTTTGTGGTCAATAGAGTGAACTTCCTCAAACGGAGCTAACCAACAGTAAATTAGGCATCTGCAGGGAAGTTATACGATTCTGCAGGTGCCTAATTTACTGTTAGTCAATAGCTCCATTTGGGGAGGTTTACTGTTATAAATCTAATATCTATTGATCACGCCTGATTAAAATCGATTTTAACTTGGAGAAAGTGAAGGTACAGCAGTATGCCTGTGAGAAAGAACATGACTGCTTTCTATGATACGTAGTACCCTTCACCTCTTGAATATCCCTTGCTTTATCTTTATTATGTATTCTAGTTGCCCTCAAGTCATTTTGTTTTTATTTTATTTTTCTGAAAGTCTTTCTGTGATGATCAAAGTTTATTTCACTAGATCTTTGTAATGGCCAATGTTTGCTTGTTTCAGCCAACATATATGACATGAAAAATATTGGAGTTGTAACCCCAACATTACAAGAATGGAGTAATGTCTGAAGCTGGATCTGCATAGACCATGCGGCTGTTTGCACCCTGTTGTATATCCAAGAGGCTTAGGCTTTGATGTCTTTTGCATGATTAACTGTGAAGTGAAATGTAACTCATGTATTTCTCAACCTAGGCTATCTCCATCTCATGTATTCCTCAACCTAGGTCATCTCTAGTAATGGAGGGAGAGAAAGAATAAATGTTCAGCTCTCGACTCGAGTCTCACTCTTATCTGATCTCACCGTTTTTTTTTAAAGCTTTATCCCTTTAGCAGAAGATCCTAGTACTGCTTCCCTTAGCATACGAGTGTCTTTTTTTTTTTTTTTTTTTTTTGGGACCGAGGAAAAAAAATTGTTTGAATGCTTCTCCAATAATGGCTTGGTCAGCGTCTACACTCTGCTGTAAAAGCGGTAGATTACTTGCAATGGAGGGGCTATGGACCCTCTTTTGTGTCTGCTAATGCTTATCAAACTTTTAAGGATTCCTTTCAGATCCAATGGCAATATGAGCTCGGAAACACTTTTTTTGGTCCAGAAAAGACAAGTCATTGTGAATATAGAGGAAAAGGAGTTCGCTGAAGACAAAAATGACAGAAAAGCAGTGTAGAGGAATTCAATTTAAGCACGTCAAGCTAGCTCAAGCTTCATATTAGCTGAAAAGCTTCCTCCAAGCTTAGATGAATAATGAGTGGAGATGGAGATTAGATGGATGAATGGATGAGGAAGGCGTGAAATTGAAAGGATGAGAGAAGAGGTGTGGTATTTGGGCAAGACAGATATAGAGATGATCAGTGCAACATGGTGTGGGTCCGTTGAAGATAGTGGGAAATGATCATGAAGCTGAGTCTGTGGATGTGATAGTGGAACGCCATGTGAAGGAGGCTCCAAAAAGGGAGAAAAGGAGCCGAAAGTGTTGAAAGAGAGAGGAAAATGGCTTATGGGGCAAATTGCTACCACGAACACTTTGATCCATGAGAAATTCATATGTGATCCTGCGTGACATATTATTCATATTTTATCTAATAAAAAACCATATATCATGTCATATAAATATAAATTGATTCTGATATTTATAATGATAGAGAGGGAGAGATTAATGAGATATTTTATTCTAAAAATGAAGTTAAAAATGATGATATATAAGATTTTATTTGATTAAAGTGGTATAGTTTGCCATGATTTTAATAGATAGAATATGGATGATGTGGTGTATGGATTTATGCAAAAATTTCTCTTGATCCAATGAGAAGGAGAATTTAGACAAAGTCAAGGCCATTGAAATTGGATTGGAGCAATGGGAGTTAAGTAGAATTGAAAAAAGTAACATTATTTTATTTTTCAATTTAATGAGTTGCCTCAAATATCTAGAGAATGCCTCTTAAATCTTGGCCTTTTGGACTGTTCTTGAACCCCAAGTATTAAATCTAACACCATAGGATTTTATGATTTGCTCTTCCATGACTTAAAAACTCAAAGTGCATCTATGTATGTTATATTCAAATATAATACAACCCATATTAAAATTAAATTAAATTTAGAAAAAAACTAAATCTTTATTTTTATATAATTTATCCCACATTTATTGTAGGATTTTAGTTTCTTCATTATACTTCCAAATAAAATTATTCTTTTTTAGAAAGTATAAGCAAGTTTATTATGGCTCTTGTAATAATACCATCAATGAGATAAGAAACATTATTAAGCTAATCACTTTTAATCATGTATCCCGAGAAGTGCATTCTTGTGCAGACTGGTTGGCTCAGCATACTCATGGATCGATATTTCCTAGTCATCTATATCCCCTCACTTGATTGTTGACATCTCTTAGATATTGATTTGCTCAAGAGATCTTTTGGTATAAATGATTATGGCTGAGGCTTACAAAATTGATCTCAAGAATATCATAAATAAATAACTTGAGTACCACGAGCCATCAACAAACCACTTTCAGTTAACATGACTTATAAAATTTATAACAAGTTATTCTGTTTAGAGTCACAAAGATTCGTGATTCTTTTTTTTTAAAAAAAAAAAACACTTGGTGATTCATTTTTTAAAGACTCCGTGCATAAGAAAAACATTAATGATATGTTTGGATTAGTCTAACACTTTAATACAAAAAAAAAATTGTAGATTTGGACCAAACAGTTCTTTTTTTTTTAATATAAGTACTTTTCCATTTAGTATTACAAGACACTTTTTGTGAAATATCATTTAAAAAATGAGTTATTTTAGGTGTGATTAATAAAGTATTTTTTAAAAATACCTTTAATTGATAGATGTAATTGATAAATTTTTTTTGTAGAACATCATATTAAAAAAGAAGAAACATGAAATATGTGTAATTTTAAATGTCATAACTAACTCATTGAGAGTATAAATTAATTAAAAGTATCTTATAATTTTGAACAGTTTATAATTATAATAAAAATGGTTTTCTAGTTTTTTACTATAGTTCTAAATTGTTTAGGTCCAACTTTAACCATTTAAATTTATTTATTTATTTATTATTTAACATAATAATAATTTTATAATATATATTGAGATTTTAAATAAAAAAAATCCAAATTCAGATGCCACGTGATATAAAGGAGAGTATATTTCCAGAATTCCAGTGTGTAATGGAGCATGGGAAAGCGGCGAAACTGTGAAAGCGCAATGTCCGAACAACTATGGAAAGAAGATTCCAAATTATCAAAAGGGATGACTGTGCCGGGCATGCCCTTAAACCCAACGATTTCAAAACACAAAGCAATAAAAAGACATTAACCAATATCTCTTCAAAACACTAATAATAGTAAGATATTGATTTTAATGAATTGTTTTGCATGTTGGAACCAGTGAGACTTGTTTCAATTCTCTTCTCACCCATATATGCCCACCAAAAAAAGTGTCATCTTCGTCTTCTCATCTTTCCAGTGTTTGCCACTTTCACTTGTTTACCCATTTCATTATTAGAGATTTTTGGACTGTATATTCAGGAATTTAGGACCATACAGTGCACTGCTGGTAGCAGTTTTCAGTCTCACTTCAGACCTATATAATCTATCTGGCGCCTCTTCGAACCCAAATGGATTAAAGTTCTCTGATTTTCCTTCTCTCTTCAACAATGGAGATGGGGAAGATGGGGGCGATGGGTTCTTCTTCTTCTTCTTCTTCTTCTTCTTCTTCTTCAAGTGAAGGAGGAATGGTTGATCATCCTCCGATTTCTCAAACCCAGAGACGCAAGGCTGGACTCATCACCATGCCCTTCATTATAGGTATTAATTTGCTCCAATCCAGTTCCAGTCATCATGTCAAAGAACAAATTTATTGGTCTTGGCTGAATTTTTGTGTTGCATAATCTGGTATTTGGTTCATTGGGGTGAATACTGAATAATGTTGCAGCAAATGAGGCACTTGCCAGGGTGGCTAGCTTAAGGATTGTCCTTAACATGGTTCTGTATCTGATGGGCGATTATAGACTTCATATGGCTTCAGCCACAAGGATACTCCTATTATCCTCTGCTGCTGGCAATTTAACTCCTTTGGTCGGTGCTTTTCTCGGTGATTCTTATCTGGGTCGATTCCTCGTTGTTGGCTTAGGTTCTGCTTCATTTTCTTGCTATTCTTCTTCCTTTTCCTTCTGATCCCCTCCTTTCTTTTCTCTTTAATCAAAAGTTAAAGTTCAGCTTAGAAGGGTATATTGCTATTTTGCAGTTTAATTATTGCATTACATAGAAAGGAAGTGATGAATCCCACCATAAGTTGTACAATCTTAGTTTGTACAAATAACATCAACAGAGAATCATAAGGCCTGCAAGAACAAAGTTTTGGGCTTAATGCAGTAATATAGCCACACTTAAGTTGAATAATCCATCTAGCTCAGTATTACTATTAAAATTGTAAAGAATTGATATTGGGAAAAAGTCTATTGAAAGTAATGTTCTTTTCTTCAATGACAGGGAAAAACACTCTTGTTGCTAGCAGTCATGATCCCACAGGCAAGACCTCCCCCTTGCAGCAACCCAGCAACAGAAATGTGTACCTTTGCAACATTAGGGCAAATGATTCTCTTAATCTCTTGCTTTGCTCTCTTGAACATTGGAACTGGTGGGCTCGGGTGCTCCTTAGCATTTGGTGCAGACCAAGTGAACAGAAAAGCAACCCTAATAACTAGAGACTTGGAGATATTCTTCAGCTGGTATTATGCTTCTACTGCTGCTTCTTTCGTACTTGCCTTCACTGCAATAGTGTTGTATCCAAGATCATTTTTTATGGAAATTTTGGAGTTCCTGCTGCACTTATGTTCTTATCAACCTTCTTGTTCTTCCTTGCTTCCCCACTTTACATAAGGTAGAAACCAACAGCTAGCTTGATCACTAGCTTCTCACATGTCATTGTCGCGTGGCATAAGAACAAAAAACTTCAGCTTCCACCCACTAGCTCAGCTGCAAGGCACCATCATAAGGAGGGCCCAGATTTCCTTGTTCCATCTGATAAATTAAGGTGATATAATTTATCAAAGCTCCCATTCTTAATTATGATCTTTTGTTCATTGTTTTAATCATGAGCTAATGTGTAACACTAGGTGACACTTTTTGATGGACCTCAAGGCACTGATGGCCACAAAGCTTGAAGATGGTGTGCAATCTCAAGAGGAAACTCTAGGCGTGAAGGAACAAGCTCAAGGAGTCCAACTATCCAAGTCCAACATGCCAAAGTATCCACTACAACATATGGGAGGCTCAATGACAAGAGTTCGAACCAAAGTTATAAAGTAAGTCTTATTTTGTCTTGTGCAAGATGTCCAAGAACTCTTGAAGCACGCCCCTCAAGCCCAAAGAAGACCCCTTAGACGTGTTCAATATTCTAGAGATCCAAGTCTAAGAAGGCCTAAGTCCAAGTGGTCAAAACCCTAGCCCATTCAATGGAAGACTTGGCACTTAAACCTAGTATTATGGGAGTCAAGATACAATCTAATTTTGAAGCATAAGAGGTGTGATTTTGCTTAGATTGAAGATCCCTTGATTGCTTCAAATTGGTTTCCTATTTTTGCAAGACTTTGACTTGATTCCTTTTCTTTAGAATCAAGATATTAGTTTAATATTTTATTTAGTCTTTTGTTTCCTACTTTTAGTCTAGTCAAAGATTAGGGTTAATTAGGATATTCTCCAATAGTGTAATCTCATAATTTTAGAAGATACAATTTCTAAATTATGTGGTTGAATTTTTATTATTTTTGTCTAAAACTAGGGTTTTAGAAATTAGGGTTTTGTGTCTTGAGTTGCTTATATATGGGCATGAACTCCTTCTTGTAATGCCAAGTTTGATTTGACTAATAAGAGTGATTTTTATTTCTAGAATTTATAACTCTTGTGAACTCAACTATTATAATGTTTTCGAAGGCTAAGATTGTTAGAGGTGGATACTTTAGAAGATTTTCTCATTGATCCCTATCTTTCTATGTGTTTTCGTTTCCTTTCCCTTTTATTTCTTCTTCTTCTTCTTTCTCATTTCTTTTCTTTATTTCTTGTTTTATTTATATTCCTAATTAGCACAGTTCCCCACGTTCTATCACTTCTCTTATTTGTATAGGTTTCTGAATAAGGCTCGTTTAATTAAAGATCCAAAAAAAGATATAGCCCCTGATGGTTCAGCCGCAAATCCATGGAGTCTCTGTGTACTGTAGAGGAAGAAGAAGAACTGAAAGCCATCATCAAAGTGATTCCACTGTGGTCTACCGGGTTAATGATGTCCATTAATACTAACCAAAGCTCATTCCCATTACTCCAAGCCAAATCCTTTAACAGACATATCACATCAAGCTTTGAAATCCCGGCAGGCTCATTACTGTGATAATGCTATTTGCTGCATGTGTTTGTGTACGCATCTATGACCGTATCCTCCTTCCTCTAGCATCAAGGATCAGAGGCAAACCAGTTAGGATGAATGCAAAAAAGAGAATGGGAATTGGGTTATTCTTCTACTTCCTCCAACTGATTGTTGCCGCAACCGTGGAGACTATAAGGAGAAGGAAAGTCATTGAAGAGGGACATATTGATGATGTTCATGCAGTTCTGGACATGTCTGTGGTGTGGCTTCTTCCTGAACTGTGCGTTTCAGGCATAGCAGAAGCATTCAATGACTTCAACAGGAGGGAAAGAGAGCTGGGTTTCAGATAATATAAATAGGGATCGTTATGACAGGTGTTATTGGATTTTGTCACAAGGGCTGGTGTTCATGTGCTGTATTACCTGTTTCGTAAACTTCTGATGAATTACCAAAAGAAGGTGAAGAAATTGGCTCAACGGAGGAAGAGTTTGCTGAATTGGGGAATGCTGTTAAGGATGAGAAGGACAAGCAGGAGAGAATGAAAAGTCATGATTTTTTTTTTTTATTCCTTCCGCATAGAAATATAGAGTTAAGAGATATGAATGGGCTATATATACACATGTTATAAACTTTCTTGTTTATATGCCCATGTACAAGCAAAACATGAAGAATAAGTTTGTACTGTTTATGGTTTATTAACAATGTGAACTGCTACGAAATTTCGTGGATTAAAATTCGGTGACTGTACTTAATATAGACATTGAATATCTGTATTATCTAAGTTATTAAAATTCAAATCAATGATTATAAATTTATATTCCACTTAAGATTAATAAATGAGTGAATTTATTTTAATTGTTGATCTGTATTTTAATAGCTGTACAGGTATTCAATGCCTATATTAAGTACAGTTATCGAATCTAAATCTACAAAATTTCACATTTTATATTGATAATATTGATATTGATTGCGGAATTTGTGAAATTTCAACGCTTGAGATGAATATGTTAGTTTATTATTAAAGTTCATGAATCGCTGTTTGTAAAGGATGTCATGATGAATACTAAAGTTAACTACTAAGTAATTATGCACCAACCGTGAATCATCTAAATTAATTATACTCCCTTTATCCCAATTTATAAGATATTTTTTAGAGAAATTCGGTGTCCTAAAATATAAGATATTTTGATAAAAATAAAGTTTCATTAATGATATTTTTTTAATATTATTCTTCTTATATATATTCTCTCTCTTTAATATTCTTTTACAAATGAAGAATTAAATGAAAAATATTTGTTAAAACTTGCACTTTCACAAAATAAGATTGTAAAATGTATTTAATAAAATTTTTTGATATATGTGATTTTATTTAAAAGTATTTTATAAATTTGGATAGAAACAGTATCCGTCAACTTTCACTTGATAACCAAAATTTTAATTATATTAACAGCATATCAAATTTAAGCAGTATTTCTTTCATCTCTATTTGCCTGTCCCCATAGGACACAATTAAAACGGGAATAGGAAATTTTATTTTCTTGCAAGGGTATTATTGAAAATAAGTCGCTATTATACCCATAAGTTTGAAATAAGACAAATATATAGGAATGAAATATAGAAAGAAATCAGGGTAAGTAATGGGTTTGGTCACTTGGAGAAAGTGCAAGTCTATTAATCCCATTTTTTCCCATAATCATGAAACCCCAAAAACATTGGTAAAGTCACAAGCCTGCAAATCATTGTTATTAAAAGTCACAGGTCCTCAAACTGAGAACACTCTTACAAAAGCTACAAGCCCACAAATTTGGAGGACCCAATAAGGCTTATTTAGATTTCAATTGAGTATAATTAATTATAAAAAAATTAATTAATATGATTAATTTTTATTATAATTAATTATATTATAATGTGATCATATTATAATGTAATCATGTTTGGATATTATTTTCTTGAAATTAATTTTGACATCACTGAAGATATTTGGATAATTTGATTAGAATTAATTTTAAATTTTGACATTATCGTTTAAGATATAAATATTAATATAATTGTGTATAATATTATTAAATTTGTTAAATTTTATTTAACAAAAAAATATGTATAATAGTGATCCAGTTAATATTTATATAATATTTAACATATCTATGTTTGATTATGAAAATCATATTAAACATAGAAGAATCTTTCATAAAAATTACAATTATATTATATTATAATATTAATAAGATTTTTTTCATATTAATCTTTATCACAATTTGCTATATATGTTTTGATTTCAATATCCCATAATTTTTTTTTTGGATTAATGAGTATTATAGACCTTAAAAGATTACGCGAAAAGCACCATGGATCCTAAACTTTTAAAATGTGTAAAAAAAATTTAAACTTTAAAATTTATAGCAAATTACCCCTCACTGTTAACTTATAGATAACCGTCGTTAATTGTTGACTTTGTGGAACCTAGTCAAATGCTGATGTGGCAGTCTCTTACTAATGTGTTATCCCTTCTTATGAGCTAATGAGCACTATAAACCCTAAACTACTGTGTAAGTAGTATTCTAAACTCTAAACTCCTAAAATATGCAAAAATGTTCTTGAACTTTGAAATTCAAAACAAATTACCCCCACTGTTTATATGTAGAATATTGACTGTTATGTAGACCAAATTACCCCTAAACTTTATATGTCATATATATTGATAATGCTAACTAGGATGATCGTTATTCATTGGTTGTATTTTCTGACTTAGGTCAAAATACATGTGTGGTTAAAGTTTAGTTAAAGTCAAAATACTAATGCAAGTATGTTTTTCATAAATGGATGATTGTAAATGATTATTTTGATTATTTGAATTGGTAATTACCTTTCTCTTACTTTTTGATGAAATTGTGCGATTGAAGAGTGAAATTGAGGTCTAGTGTGTACTTGTGTATTGTGGTGTGTCGCACAAATTATCATTGGTCGTCATGTCTGTTCAATGTTTTTCAAACAATTGATATATCATACTTTCATATACCTTATAACTCTGATTTAGTTTTATTTTAAATAATATTTATTTATTTAAAGGTGAAAACTTAGAATCCCATTTGGAAAAAAGTTTAAGTATTAGAAGATTTTAGTTAACTGGTTAATTTGGGTTTGAAATTGGAGATTTTATAAACGGTAGATGTGAAAGCCGATGACTTCATCAACAAATTCAAGTAGCAATTGAGACTACAAAGATTGAATTCTTTCTTGCATTATAGAGACATGCTCAAAGCCAATTGAGGGAGATGCGGCCGGTGTTCTCTAGAATCCCCCAACTGATGGATTCAGCAAAGGCAGAGAGATGAGGGCACAGTTAATATATGAGGGGGGATTACACATCATTGAAATGATGGAGGTAATTTTCTCTGAATTTCAAAGTTTATGGGAGTTTTTGCATATTTTCAAAGTTTAGAATCCAGGATACTACTCATGCAATAATTTAGGATCAGTGATGCTCATTAACTCATAAGGAGGGATGGTGCATCAGCAAGGAATTGTCACATTAGCATTTGACAAGGCCTCACAAAGTCAACAGTTAACAACAGGTATCTATAAGTTAACGGTGCTGATAATTTGTTTTGAATTTCAAAGTTTAGAGACATTTTTGTACATTTTAAGAGTTTAGAGTTTAAAATGTTACTCGTACAATAGTTTAGAGTTTGTGGTGTTCATTAACCCTTTATTTTTTTATGCATACATTTATGTTACTGGTCAAAGTCTTGAAAAATCCTATTTGAACACCACCTTCTTTAGACAATATAAGTGTGCCATCCTTCACTAGAGACTAAAGGCATTTTTGGTAAATTGAAAATTCTGATAAATAATAATGGAGTTAAATGCAATAATTGATTATGAGAAGCTGCTACGGATTCTTAAGGAAAAACACTGTTCTAGAAGAAAAATGGATTAAAAAAAGAAGAAGAGGTGTTTGGGCTTTTTTCAGTAAAACCATGGTTTTGGTGGGTAGAATTGATTATACTAGCTTATTCAAATAGGCACTTAGTGTGAAGCTGACCCTCACAAAGTTGAGTGCAGGCCATATTACATCAAGGAACTATATTTTTTTTTTAAATTTTTTGGTTTCTCAAAAATGGAGCTTCAGAATTTGCAGCAACGTATAGCCAAACAAGCTATTAATCTCAATTTTATTTTCACTAATTTATTGTTATTATTAACATCTCTATATAATATGGCAACACGGGAAACTTGAGTTGTCCCTGTCCACGGGTCCCGCGTCTCATAATAAAATGTGATGATGATGCATTGAATGGGAATGTGCAGTGTAATGCATGGACGACCAAAAAGAAAGAAAAAGAAAAACAAAACGAAAACATCATTTATTTAATATTATATTTAGGTGAAGTTGGAATCAAAATTATGAACAACTTTAAGGACTGAGTGTGATGGAGACAGGCCAGGTGCTAATCCAGTGGTTAACGTAATAAACTAATAACAAGATTGGTTAACGTTGACGTGTGAATAATAAGGACCGAAAAAAAAAAAA